TTTTAACACACCTATATAAACCCAGTTACATGTTCTGAGCTCACTCCACAACTCCAGAGAAGCAGGCATCAGATCCTGACCACAATCACTCAGGAAAAGTAGAAAGCAACCCCATATCTATGCATGGCTGTCTCCAGAGGCCATCCTATTTTACAGCTTTCCTGGAGTTTCCAAAGCAGGGATACCCCTTGTGTGCCACTCCAATAGCTTGTCTAGCTGTCTCATTGCATTGGCCTGAGATGCTGGCTCACATGGGCAAAATCCTGACCTCTCTCTCAAAGACCCCTCTCTAAAGAAGTCCTTGTTTCTCCCTCTGGGTCTACCCAGTCTTCACTCAGCTATTTAAAAAAAATTAACATAATAAATGAGCTCACATCCGGAAAAGGAAACTTGGTGACAGAATAAGCTGGCTTCCAAAGATTTCCCCCAACACTTTCTCACTGTTCCATAGAAAAGAAAACTAAAACCAGTGAGAAGTCAGTCTACATGCACAAGAGCAGCTGTCTTGAGGAAGACTTATGCACACAACACTGATGGGGATGTAAAGCAAGGAAGCATGCAGTCACTGATGGGCACAGAAGAGATGGTGTCACTGTGGCGTGTGACACAGCATTTCTGTATGAAACCAGCTACTATAGCCCAGTGTCCATGCACAAAGGAAATTTTAAAACTTGATGCCTCCAAAGAGCTACCCAGCTGTCTTTCAGAAAGAGCAGAAAGGCAAAAGGTGGCACAGAACAGAGCCCTGCAGACGATGGACACACCACAATGAGTCTCCACAGACCATGCTTTAGTGAGTGAAGCCTTACACAGAATATAGATATGTTACTCTTTATCTCATATAGCTATGGTTGTAAGGTGAATGGTATTAAGGGACAAAATGTACCCTTCTGGGATGGTTGCAATATTCTCAGTTGTATGGTGATTTATTTGCACTACAAAGCTGCATGCTTTTGTCAGGGAATATTTGAGTAAGAGGTTGATGTATGTCAATTACACGTCTTAAAAAGACATAAGCAAGCATTGAAATATAGCAAATAACTGCTGAAGACTGTAGGAGGAAGCCACTCAAGCCAAAAAGCACTTTGAAAAGCATACAGAAATAAATCCCCTTCATCTACAAACCCACCAGCCTAGCTCTAGACCTGAAGCTCAGACCACAAAACCCCTATATACATGAGCAACATTTTTCTGGCAAGTCATTTCTTCCCTTTGCTTTCCCTTCCCCAACTCATCGCCATCTGAAAACCCATAAGACTATTTCCAGACCTGTGTCTCTGACCCTCTTGTTATTTTTTCCTCCCCAGTTTTTTTCTCTTTTTCCCTTTTATTAAAATTGGCTTTTTCATACAATATATTCTGGTGATGGTTTCCCCTCCTGCCACTCCTTCCAGTTCCTCCTCTCCTCCCATCTAGATCCATACCCTTTCTGTATTTCACTAGGAAACAGTCATTTGGGAATAATAAAATACAATAAGATAAATGAAAAACAAACAAATGAGAATATGACAAGACCATCAAATAAGAAAAAGAGCCCAAGCAAAACCACAAGGAAACCATATAGGCACAGAAACACACATGTTCACACATGTAATGATATATTATGTATGATTTATTAAAGCTTGCCTAAGGATTCAGAAAGCAAAGTCAGACACAAGCCTTAGAAGCCAGTCACACACCTTTAATCCCAGCAGCCAGAAGCTAGAAGGTGGTGGCACACACCTTTAATCCTAGGACTCAGGATTAAGAGATAGACAGGTCTCTGTGAGTTCAAGGCCACCCAGATCTACACAAGAGTGAATCAGTCTAAAAGAAAAATATAGGTCACACCTTTAATACCAATATTAGGGAAATATATAACAGAAGCAGTGTCTCAGAAAGACATTTGTTCTCCTGCCACACAGAGAAGAAGCAGCAGTTTGAGACTTGGTGAAGAGTTTGTGCATGGATCAGCCCTTTCAGCCTGAACTTGAGGTGAGAGTTAGTGGTCAGCTGTTTTGCTTTTCTGCTATTTAGCTTGAAGTTTGAACCCCAATATTGGTCACTGGATCTTTTATTTTCATGTTGCACACACACACACACACACATCCCATAAAAACTCAAAACTGGAAGCCATGATATATATGTAGTCTACCTGTTAGGTTAAAACAAACAACAACAAAACCCAAAGAAACAAGAAGACCCTGGATTAATATTATGAGATACAGAACCTCCAAAGATGCCATTGAGCTTGTTCTGTGTTGACCATCTACTTGCTGGGCATGAGACCTATCCATGTGGCTTGTTCCCAAGTCAGACTCTCTTGGAGAAAACTAATTTTTCATCTGAAAGTTGCTATCAATTGGAGATGGCTTCTGTGTTAAGGATGGAGAATGTGTCCACTTCGCCCTTCAGCTCTAGGATCCATGCAGGCCTTGTCCTGTGCATGCTGCCTCAGTCTCTGAGTTCATAAATGTGCCAGCCATGTTGTGTCTAGACCTTGATTCCTCCATCTCCTTTGGCTCTTATACATTTGTCACCTCCTCTTCCAAGTTCCCTGAGCCCTGAAGAGAGGGATATGATGGAGACATCCTTTTTAGGGCTGGGTGTTCCAAGGGCTCTTACTCTCTGTATATTGTCTGGCTGTAGATTTCTGTATTTGTCCCATCTGCTACACGAGTAAACATCTCTGGTGATGGTTGAGCAAGCCACTGACCTGTGAGTATATTAGACTGTTGTTAGGAGTCAGTTTTTTGCTACATTCTTTTAGAAAAACAGTAGTATTGTATTTTCCCTAGGTCCTTGGCCAACCAAACAGCACTAGATAAGGGTTTCATCCGTCTCATGGGTGGTTACTTCCACAAGTTTTTTGCCACTGTTGCACAACCATATCTTGCAGGGAGGTCACTCTTGTAGATGCAAGGATTTGTAGATGGATTGGTATTTGCCTTTTTTTTTTTTTTTTTTTTTTTTGGCAGTGTGCAATGTACCTTCAAAAACCATGAATATTTGTCCATAGGGGTTAAAGCTCTAAGTAGGCACCAGTCATGCCTGGTGTCATGGTTTGAATAAGAATGGCCCCAATAGGCTCATATATTTGAATGCTTAGTCACTGTGGAGTGGCACTGTTTGCATTTCAAAACCTTCAGCATAGCTACATAAACCAAAAACCATAGCTACATAAACCAAAGCACTGTGGTGTGGCATGAGGCTAGACATTGAGATCAATGGGCTCCAAATGAAGGTGCTGAAATAATCTCACATGCATATGGTCTATAAGTTACTAGATAAGGGGTGGTGGCTACTCATGTAGAAAGAATAATGACTCAAAGTGCTGGAGAAACAGGATATCCACATGGATTACTAGAAATCAGTACTCCATACGTCAAAAACAAATGTGAACTTGAGACCCAACATAGTCCTGGACATGATGCTGAAGGACAACATTCTTAACAAAAAGCAGGAGATGATGCTGCAGGACTTGTAAATTCGAGCGTTGGATGTGACACCAAAGCACAAGGCAGGAAACTGGTCGGAAAGAAGTGTACATAAAAGGACCTCATCACCAGCGTAAGTCATGTGTTAACAAGGTCTGCCATACAGAATATGACAAACCATTGATAAAATCCCCCCCAAAACTACCTACTCCCTGTTATGAAATCTGTGACAGAGCTGAGCACATAGTTTTGAAAGGTGTCCAAAGGCAAACAAGCATGAAAGGCTTGAGAAGAAGATGAATGGGAGGTCAGAAACCCTCTAGAACAGAGAATGCTCACCCTGAGCTTGCTGTTCAGTTGCCCATAATGGTCACAGTCCATCAAGTAGACCCCAGCATTAACCAACACCACACCCAGGCTATAATCTGACTCATTTTCCTTGGAGGAGGTGAGTACAGCATTCTGGTCATGGCCATAATAATCCCATGCTCTCTCAAACAGTGAAACAACAGCAGCTCAGTGACAGCACAGTGGAAGGCCTCTCCAATAGGCCAGAGTAGGAACTTTTCAATGTGAACATGGCCACCATATAGCCCAGCTCTCAGAAAAGCAGGCTAATCGTGAGTAAATTCAGTTCAGCATGACAGGTGGGGTGCTCACATCCCAAGTTGGACTCCATGTATTTTTGGGACAGACACTGAGTGACTGAGATCAGGCAGGCTCTATACAGTCCACAGAGGTGAAATGACCTGCTGGCTGATATCCACTTTCCAAAGGGGGGTGGTGGTGATGTAGAGGAACACAGGGCAGTCTGGACAGGCCTGGCAGAGAGACAAACAGGAACAACACTGGGGTTTACAGACCAAGAACCCCTCCTCTGGCTTTCCTTCAAATCATTCTGACCATAAACTATCCCCTTTGACTTCAAGGAAGAAACGGGCACATGTGTCTCAGTAGGCAAAGTAGATGGACACTTACCTAGCAGCACCTCAACTCCAAGGTCCACACTGGAAAGGAATCCTGGGAAGAGCAGCACCAACTATAGGTTTGCCCACCAGGGAAATCTCAATGGCTCCCAGTAGCAATACGGAACGGTGTCAATCATGATATAACAAAGATACTATTGCCAGGCTGCAGAAACACATAGAGACTGCTGACCTGAACAAGGAGGAGCTAATGGGCCCCCAGACTGATAGCTGGGAAGCCAGCATGGGACTGACTCAGGCCCCCCTGAATATGGGTCTCAGCCAGAAGGACTGAGCAGTCTAAGGAACCTCAGACAGTGGAGCCAGGATGTATCCCTGGTGCACAAAAGGACCTTGCGAACACATCCCCCATGGAGAGATAACTGCCTTAACCTCGAGACAGGAGAAAAGCCCTAGTCCCTACTTCAAATGACCTATCATATCTACATGACCCCAACTGGATGGCATTCCCCTACATATGGAATTGGAGTGGGGGGTGGGAAGGGAGGGGTGAAAAAAAGAAAAAAAAACAAAGATACTATTGACCTTGTACCATGGAACAGTTGCCTGATTCCCTTTCTTGATATCCAGATACACAATATTCACACTAACATGCTCATCACAGGGCATCCCTACCTGTGCATACCACCTGGGTGTAGGATTGAACATCACACTGCTCTGCAAAGTTCACATTGACCTTGCAGTGGAAAATGTTAGCTTCTGTCCCTTGGCAAGACACACATTTCTCTTCTTGATTTCCAGACCCTGCTCCATGTGAGCTCTGGACCACTGCAGAGCAGTGCCACAATGCAGGTCTCTGCATAGGACACTTGCCTCTTCCTTTTGCAGGCACACTTCAGGACTGGGAGAGACCCACTCAACTCAGGAGACCCAGCACTCGGACTGGTACCTCTGGTCAGCTTGACTTGCTGAAAGTCACCACTTGCGGCACAGGAGAAAACCCACTCCTAGAAGCTGCTGCCAAGAGAGCATGATGAGGGTCTGCAGACTGACTTTTAGTCTGAAGCAATGTGTACAGGATCCCTGGTGGTGTCGCCAACCTTGACTACTACCCTGGAATAACAGGCAAATACAGCCCATCCTCCCAGAATGCTACCACAGACTGAGTGTACACAAGGAAGATAGCAACTCACAGGATAGCTTGGGACAGGGTGCATTCCTCACCAATAGACCTGTCAAGTCTCCCTGACCTGAGCTGTGCCTGGTGCACAGTGACAGTGTATAGGGACCCCACTGTGTTCCCTGGCGTGACTAGGTACGGCAGTGACATTCAGAGGCAATGGCTGAATTTTTTAAAAATACAGGAAAAAGTTATTGAGGATAGAAACAAGGAGAATGAGAACTGGTTTTCTTTAGAACATATAAAGAAGTTTTAAGAACACAAAGGTAATACATTTTAATTAAACTGTCAAAAAACAAAACAAAACCAAAAAAAAAAAAAAAAAAAAACAAGTACTGAAGCAGCAACAAAGACATCACTGTTCATCTACTCCAGATTCACAAGACTAACAGCTAGCATCTCATCAAAATTATGAAGATAGAAACTAGAAGTACAGGAACATGTTCAAAGTGCTTTAAAAAAATAGTCAAACAATGATTTTTATCTCCCTCTTTGTTCCTCTTTCAAGTAAGGAGAAACAAATTGGGACTTTCTGAAGTAAATGAAGCTGGGGAAGCTCCTTGTTAGTCCATTAGCCCTGCAGTCAACCATCCATGATGACAACACAGGGTCCTGGGGAGCACCACATCCTCCATGAGGATACCACAGAGTCCTGAAGAGCATCATATCATCCATGATGATAACACAGGGTCCTGGGGAGCACCGCATCCTCAATGAGGACACCACAGGGTCCTGGAGAGCATCACATCATCCATGATGACAACACAGGGTCCTGGGGAGCATCATATCATCCATGATGACAACACAGGGTCCTGGGGAGCACCACATCCTCAATGAGGACACCACAGGGTCCTGGAGAGCATCACATCATCCATGATGACAACACAGGGTCCTGGGGAGCATCACATCCTCCATGATGACAACACAGAGTTCTGGGGAGCATAACATCCTCCATGATGACACCACATGGTCCTGGAGAGCATCACATCCTCCATGATAATAACACAGGGTCCTGGGAAGCATCACATCCTCCATAAAGACATCACAGGGTCCTGGGGAGTATCACATCATCCATGATGACAACACAGGTTCCTGGGGAGCACCATATCCTCCATGAGGACACCACAGGGTCCTGGAGAACATCACATCCTCCATAATGACAACACATGGTCCTGGGGAGCATCACATCCTCTATAATGACAGCACAAGGTCCTGGGGAGCATCACATCCTCCATGAGGACACCACTGGGTCCTGGGGAACACTAGGTCCTCCATGATGACAACACAGGGTCCTGGGGAGCACCATATCTTCCATGAGAACACCACAGGGTCCTGGGAAGCACCACATCCTCCATGATGATATCACAGGGTCCTGGGGAGCACCACATCCTCCATGATGACAACACAGGGTTCTGGGGAGCACCACTTCCTCCATGATGATAACACAGGTGTTGGGAAACTCCAAGCATCTTGCCAAACAACATAAACTATTGTTATTGCCTTGGTTGCCTCCCAGAAATTGAAAGAAAGTCCCTCTTGCTAAAAACACTACACACTTCAGACACAGAACTTAGAGGATTGTGCTGGATCTGACCTGAAGCTTCTTCCTTGAGGACTGACTCTTACACTATTAGAAAGTACTATTCAAGTTGCCAAGAGAGAAAAGCAATCAGTAGGCCTACCAAGCTGTAAAACCTGTGAACAACAAGATGGCCAGCCATGCAATACAGTCAAATGGTGCAACAATACTTGTGGGGATAACCAATGCATGTCTAATTGAACTTAAGGCCCACCAAATACCAGGGGATTCACAGCTGTTATTACTAAATAATAGTAATAATAATAATAATGAGTTATTTTTAGGAACATTTCACCAAGAAAAGAGATCATGTAAATGAAAACCCACAATTCCAAGAAAAACACAAATGATGAAAACTGATTCAATGGGGAATGAAAATGTGAAAAGATTTATCATATGCAGAGAAATTGACTCTAAACTTTCTCAACAAAGAAAACCAAGGACAAGATGATAATTTTGTGGATAAATTTGCTGAGCACTTATAAGAAAAATTAATTTTTTCAACTAACATTTTCCAACCTTACAAGAAAATACATGAGAGATGTCTCTAGCTCCCTATATGAGTCAGCATTATCCTGATAGACAATTCAGGCAAAGACATCAAAATAATAAGAAACTACAGACCGGCATACTAAAATACTGATACAAAAATCTCAGCACTGAAGAAATGGACAGCAAAGAAAATGGTGCACCATGCTTAACTAAGATTTATTCCAGAAAGACAACATTGACCCAACACACAAAAAACAACCACCATAATTCAAGGTGTTAGTATATTGAAGGGACAACAATGGTTACCTCAAACAGTGTACTTGATAGTCTGATATCCTTAAACAATTTTTAAAAATGCTGTAAAAAAGAGAACTTTATAACATACCACTAAAGAGTGTTTGGGAAAAACCTGTAGCTAGCCTGTGCTCAGGAGTACAAGACTGAAAGCCTTTGTCCTAAGATAAGGAACATGAGAAAGATGTCCATGTTCATACACCCACTGAACAATGGGAGAAATACAGAAGACACCAAAGAGGGGACTAGCAAGTAAAAGAAGGGTTGCCCAGGCTAGATAGAGCAAAGCTCTATTCATCAAATCTCATATGTAGAAAATCCCAAGGTCTTCACAGAGAAGGCAACAGAGATAACACACTGCCCCACAAAGTTGCAGGATACATATCAACACAGACATGTAAATTATTTAGGTAATGATTATTTTGACTGAACAGTCAAAAAGAAATTTAAGACCCCTATTTAAAAAAAAAAAAATAAGTAGTCATATGTTAAACTCCAAATATGGAGTTGTAAAAGGTTAACCAAACTTTGCTTAAAAATTAATCTAGAGCCTAGTCAGGAAATTTAACTTAAGAAGCTCTGCCCAAAAGACTCAATAGAGAGAGAGAAAGGGGAAACCACAAGCCACCTGTGACATTGGAAGATACACATTCGCCTTTCTGGGAGTCTTGGGAAGGAATTATGTGTTAAGAAGCAGCTGAGGCCCCATTCAGAAACACCCAGCCAGCATTCAGCTCTGGGAACTGATTAGGAAGTTCCATGACTATTCATCATTTCACTTGTTGTTGTGACCAAGTATCTGATGTGAAGGTAAAGGGAGAAATAATTTATCTGTTCATAAGTCAAGAAGATATAGTCTACCATAGAGGGAAGGCATGGCAGTAGGAAAGTGATACAGGTAATCTCATTGCATCCTAATGTAGGGGGAAGCAGAGAGGAGACAGGGAGTGGACCTGAGCTATAAAACCTCAAGCTCCACCTTCCCTTAGTGATCTATTTTGCCCAGCCAGGTTCCACCTTCTAAATAATCCACAATGGTGCCACTAGTTGGGTGTGAAGTGTTCACTGGGGGCAGATAGAGTCCTCAGACTCTTAACAATTACCCACTGAGAGCCAATCAGTGAAGCCTAAAACCCAGATTATCAAACACTGACAGAAAACTCCCTCCACTGGCTCATAGGCATTCCCACATCCTCATAGAACGTCAGAAAGTCTGAAGACTTAATAGCCACGGGCACATGCACCATGTTCATCATCTCCCTAGAACCAGGCCTACTTGAGGAAATCACATACAAGCAATGATGTAATTCCCAAATGTTATCATTTTACATACCAATGAGACATTTGAAAGAAATTGCCAACACTGGACACAAACACTACATTAAAAATACCCACCTGTAACTACATTAAAAGTACCCACCTGTAGCAAAGCCTCTATACCCTAATCTGTGACAGAGAACTGTAAGGAAAAGATCCTTCTCACTATAAAAACATCCAATAAAGAGGGTAGAGATGAAAAACCCACCAGATGCAGAAATATCATCAGAGGGACACAAAGGATAGCATGACAACCACCAAGAGAACATAACTACCCTAATATGAGGAAACCTGTAAGCGTCCCAACAAAGAATTCAGAGGAATGATTTTAAAGAACTTAACAAAATTGAGCAGTCATCAAAACAATTTTACTGGGTAAAGTAGGCTTTAGGCCAAAAGCATGAAAATGAACAAAGATAATTAATAAACTGCCCAACAACAAGCTATAACAATTAAAATGTATACATCCAATACCAGATGACCTAGATCACAGGGACATTACAAAATCTAATGGCAGAAACCAAGTCCAATACAATCATTATGTGGATGCCAATATTCTACTTTTATCAGAAAGATCTAGACATCACAGGAAGCCTACACATAAACATATTAGATCAATGATCATGTCATGCATTTACAGACAAATGTACTCAACAGCTTCACAAAACACTTCTTCCTGTCATACATGGGATGTAGTCCAGGGTAGAGCACAAGAAAAGCCACCAGGCATGAGACCACACTGATGGTGAAAGCCCTTACTAGTCTTTTCAATGGACTCAGTGGAATAAATCTAGGAACTGGCAGCATGGCACACTTTACAAATCCTAAAAATAAAAGAAAAAATAAAGAAAGAGAAAAAGGACAAACCCTAAAAATAAATGAAAAACTTTAAAAACTAGAAAAGATGTATTCAATACCCAGAACAAAGCTTTCTCTTTAATAGGAATGCTGTCCGGATGAGGCATTATGTCCCTGTTGTGAGATAACTCCATTGAAACCCCTTTTAGGGAGAGAGAGAGAGAGAGAGAGAGAGAGAGAGAGAGAGAGAGAGAGAGAGAGAGAGAGCTTTCTTATATAAAGATATATATCTTCCACTAGGCCCTCTCATCCATCACCCTATCATCACTTCTTGTTCCATTATTCCCCCTTTCCCTAACTACCATCTGCATTCTATATCCCTTACTTCAAACCTCATCCTGTGGCCTCTGACTAGTTTATTGTTTTCTATGTGTATTCTGATTTGAACATATCTACAAATTCAAAACTATCATCCATATGTGAGAGAGAGCATATGGTGTTTGTTATCCTGAGTTAACTCCTTTAAAATGATTGCTTCTAGTTCCATCCATTACCTGTAAATTTCATTTTTTTTCTTTGCAACTGAATGTTTCATTGTGTACATGAACCACATTTCCATTACCCATTCATACATGGAAGGACATCTAGACAATTTCTTTTTCTTGGCTGTTATGAGCAGAGCAGCAGTGAACAAGCATGTGCAGATGTCTCTATGGGAGCTAACCTGGAGCACACAGCACCAGGGCAGACACAGTGAGAGACATTGGCTCAAAACAAAGTGGAAGGAGAAATCCAACTACTGAAAAGTTGTGCTCTGACATCCCCACACATGCTATGACCCATGCACACTTACATTAGTAAGTCATACCACACACACACACACACACACACACACACACACACACAATTCTAGAACAATGAAAGATACAATGACACCTAGGAAACTTAGAAATTAATCTTAATATTCATGATATGAAGGATTCCCAAAGACCCAAGTCATATAAACAGCTAGATATGCACTCCCTTATTTCAAAACTTACTGTAAAACTACAAATTGAGGAGATACACAGAAGTCAGTGAACCAAAACTGAAGTGCAATATCTCATTCACAGTCAAGTTCCTGAAAGTGGCCATGGCCTGAGCCAGATGCTGGGGAAACACACATGGGGTGGGTGAAGTTGGTCCTCTACACACCAGAACAAATGTTAACTCAAGACCCATCATAGCCCTGGACATGGTGATGAAGGGCAACTGTCTTAACAGAGAGGGGGAAGTGATGCTGCAGGACTTTGGACTTGCAAAGTCAAGATTTGGATGTGACACCAAAACACAAGCACAAGACAGAAAACAGAAAACAAATACCGAAATTAAGCAAGTTGAAACTGCACTTTTACAAACAGAAAGAATAACCAGTGTTGTTTGGCTGTGAGGCATGTGTTAACAAACAATCACCATACACAGTAGGCAAAACTATCAATACTGCCTCCAAAAGAAAGGTGACTTATTTCTGAAATTGATGACAGAGATGAGCAGACAGTATCCAAACAACTAAGGTGAGCAAATACATAGAGGTTAGAGAGGAAATGAGAAACAGGACATGGGGATTGAGTCACCCACCTAGCTGTCCATGTTCATCACAGCCCAGACCCTAAACCTTGACCATGTCACATCACACCCTACAGTCCAAAACCTGACTCACTTCCCCTGGAAAAGTTAGTGAAGCATCTTGGTCATGGCTACACAAGTATCCTCCCATGGACAAAGGAACACCAATGACTCATAGTGACTCAAACATTGCAAGACCTTCTAATTCTACTTCTCAGGCACTGAGCTCAGCCAAGCTCCCAGATGTGGACACAGCCACACCACACCAGCTCCCTGCACACTATGTGAGCTGTGAGCAAGTCCAGGTCAGCCTGCAGACAGTGCCCACATCAGTCCTCACAGAACCTCCAGGGAACCCTCACAGAGGTGTGCTCCTCCCTCAAACCAGACCTCCATATGTCCTTGGGACAAAGGCTAGACTGAAGCAACTGAAGTCAGGGCAGGCTCCGTGCAGGCACTGGGTGATATGACCCTGATAGCTGCCGTCTGGTTCCCAGAAAGGAAAGGAGTAGAAGGGAGGGTACAGAACCACCTTCATTAGCCCTGACACAGAGGACCACAACACTGGGATCTACAGACCAAAGACCCTGATCCCTGCTCTGTCTTCCCATGAGCCTTGGACTCCACACAGACTCTGAGCACATTCTTCTAGTCACTTGGCTTCTAGGGAATCTGTGTCCTGGAAAGGGTGGTGAACATTGATTTCAGGGGACACCCGGGAGTCTCTCATAACTACATCATGGCAAAGTGGACTGTTTTCAGCTATTATTCTGGGGTAAGGATTCCATTGATATTACTGTGGAGTAAATATCCGTATCTCTTTTCTTCATATACGATGTGTACAACATGAAGACTAAAATACTCTATGTGGGTGCTCCTACCTGTGCAAATGACCTGGGTGTAGCTCAGAAGGTCACATTGTTCTAGGAAGTTCACATTGGTCTGGCAATGTAAAATGTCAGGCTCGGTTCCCTGGAATGTAATATACTTCTCTTCCTGCTTCCTATCTGCTCCATGATGGGCTCTGGACCACTGCAGAGCAGTACCACATTCCAGCTGTCTGCACAGAACTCCAGCCTCCTCCTTTTGCAAGTCACATCTCAGGGCAAGGCCAGAGAGGCCAGTGGCCTCTGGAATCCCAACACAAGGACTGCTACCACCAGCCAGCCTGATGTGTCGTGTGGTACCACCTGGTGGCATAGAAGAGAAACCAAGTCTTGGCATTGTGTCCCTGGGGCAAACACAAGGGATGGGTACTGACTGCCCCATGTTGAGTCATTGTCCATAGTACCCCTTGATGTATTCCCGCCCATCATTGTTTTCCTAAGGTAGCAAGCCCCACTCTTCCAGAGGAAGTGGTCCAGGACTCCTACCTCCTATACTATGTGGCTAACTCTTTGCCTTATGCACAGTGAGAATGGAAACATTCTCTCTAGTGACCAATGTTAACAAGGGAAGTAGCTAACTGTCAAAACTTGGATATCTTATTTAGAGATACCAGGGAAGTGTCTACAAAAGGTGAGAACCAAGCATCCATAAGATACAAGCATAAGATGTGTTCATACCTGGCCAGACCCCTCCCCTGCACATTTGCCTCAATGCTTCCATGGCTGAGTCAGGGAAAGAACTCTGAGGGACTAAGGCACTCAGAGTTTTCATCTAACTTACCTGAGCAGATAATCACAGCCGCACACTGGCATTTGCAGCCACTGAGGGGCCCCCAGAAACCCAAGAGGCACTCCCAGAGGGTGACTTCCTCGCCATGGCATTGAACACTAGACAGCCAAGGTTGTTTCATCTCTTCAGATATCAAAATATACTTGGAAATAGAATGCACAGAGCCACAGCCAAGCTGTCTGCAGATCACTGAGGCCTCCTGCATGCCCAAGCTGTCCCCACACAGAAGGCCCCACTGCCCATCATACAGCAATTGTATTTGGCCTTCACATTTATTATCACCACCCAGGAAATTCACGAAGTACTCACCAGCCAGACCTTCAGGAATAAGAAAAAAAAAAAACAGGAAAAACTGTCTAGGTTTCATTTAAAAAAAAAAAAAAAACTTCATGATAAGAAAGCTCATATTCAGCTGGGCATGGTGACACGCACCTCTAATCCTAGCACTGGAACATAGAAGCAGGCAGAAATGAGTTCAAGGCCAGCCTTGTCTATAAACAAGTTCCAGAACAGCCAGGACTACATGGAGACACCATGTTAAGAAGACTCATCCTCACTATTCATCCCAATCCCTCCTTTGTTCAGATTTCCCAATCATAAATATTCTACACTGTTACAGAATCCAAATAGTAGCTTGGGTGAAGTCAAAGTTAGTTGAACACACACATGAAGTGAGGCATCAGACATCTCCAGAACTGTGCCATCCCTGAGTACTGTCACCTGTGTTCTATACACCTGTGCTCCTGACACCCAGGGCCTTCACACAGCAGCACACACTCACCAGGAGGAAGAGGCCACCAGGCCAGCAGCAGCAGAGACCTCAGTCCAAGAGAAGACATCCCCATGCCAGATCTCCTTGTAAGTACAGTTCCCCAGGCTGACACCCTCAGAACTGGTACCTGTCTCTGCCTTCAGGAAGAAGGTGAACTCCAACTCAGGGTGACAGTATTCTGGAGCCAGAGCCCTTCAGTATCATAGGCTCCTCCCCCACATTAGAGCTCTCATCTCTCACCCAAAGAAAGCACTCACCCACTGTGCCAGAGGACAGACAGTGCCAGCACTACGGGACTTCCTGCATCTGCTGTCCAAAGCAGTCTTAGGTGTGTGGAAAGCCAGGAGTCTCCTCCCAGAAAGGCCTGTATGGCTGGAGCTGCCAAGGCCAGTGTCAGAAAAGACATCACAGGCCTTCTGCCTCAGACAGAAGATCTGGCTAAAGACCAGATCCCTTCCAAAATCAGTTTGTTGTCAATATACAGACTTGGCAATTTAATCACAATGCTTTCAACATGTTTGCCCTGGGCCCAGACATAAGAAAAGTACATGTCTCTCTGAGGGGACATGCATGCCTAATAAGTGAACACACAAGCAAGTCCACATGACCAGGGTAATAGACAAATTAAAGAATGTGTAGACAATAGGATGTGATGACATCATGGTTCAAATATCTACTTATTGATAATCCTCTGTAAGTAGCTGATTTTCAAAAGGAAAACATGCAATGCATACTGATGAACTTTGTTCATCATGTTCAAATGATTACTGCAAAGAAATTTCTCAATGAATTTACTTCATGCAGTTTCAGGAATTCATTTATAAGAGGTAAAGTGTGGTCCTGTGGTAGACTGATTCCCATTTTCCTAAGGAACCACCATACTGATATCCAAAATGGCTATACGAGTTTGCACTCCCACCAGCAGTGGAGTGTTCCCCTCTCTCCACATCCTCTCTAGCATAAGCTGTCATTGGTGTTCCTGATTTTAGCCATTCTGATAGGAGTAAGATGGTATCTGAGTTGCCTTGATTTGCATTTCCCTGATGGCTAAGGATGTTGAGCACTTTCTTAAGTGTCTTTCAGCCATTTTGGATTCCTCTATTGAGAATTCTCTGTTTAGTTCTGTACCCCACTTTTTAATTGGATTGTTTGGTATTTTGGTGATTAGTTTCTTGAGTTTTTTGCATATTTTGGAGATCAGCCCTCTGTCACATGTGGGGTTGATGGAGATCTTTTCCCACTCTGTGGGCTGCCATTTTGTCTTGTTGACTGTGTCCTTTGCCTTACAGAAGCTTCTCAGTTTCAGGAGGTCCCATTTATTAATTGTTGATCTCAGTGTCTGTGCTACTGGTGTTGTGTTCAGGAAGTGATCTCCTATACCAACTCATTCAAGGGTACCTCCCACTTTTTCTTCTAAGAGGTTCAGTGTGGCTGGATTTATGTTGAGGTCTTTGATCCATTTTGGACTTAGATACTTTTTTAAATTCCTCTCTCATACATTATATCCCAACCACAGTTCCCCCACTCCACTCCTCCCAGTCTCCTCCCTCCTACATCGCCTCTCCACCAGATCCATTCCTCCATTTCCCTTCAGAAAAGAGCAGGTCAGTCTCAAAAATGAATGTCAGTTGTGTAAGCAAAACAGTCTCGATAAATAAAATCATACACCCACAGTAAAATGTACAGTCCAGAAGAAAATAAAAAATTCAAAGATCTTTAATGTAAAATTATTAAGAATGACAAAGTAGAGGATGCCCCCACCTGAAGAACTACTGGTGGTTTATGGCTGCTGGGAGAAGGGGTAATTTTTCTCTTTGTAGATATGGCCGTTGATAGGTTACTCATACTCCAGTGAAAGACCTCATATCCACATACATAGTGGCTGCACTAACTAGACTCAAAGATTTAAAATAAAATAAAAAAGGAGCATGAAGTTGGGATGGAGAGTCACTGGTGGAGTATAGAGGTTGTTGGAGGGCAGGAAGTGGATATGATAAAAAATGTTATATATATATATATATATATATATATATATATATATATATGTGTGTGTGTGTATGTATATATATGTATATTATATATATGAACTTCTCGAATAACAATTTGTTTTTAAAAAAGAATGACAGTGTGCATAAATTAAATGTCATCTTTTCAAAAATATCACAATGTTCACACCATATTGTTGAATGTAGTCTGAGTTTCTGTCACGTTGGGTGCCATTTGAAGATGGAGGTTTCTGTCCCACCACCCCAAATAAACACACAGACACTATATTAATTATTAAACTGTTGTCCAATGGATTAGGCTTCTTATTGGCTAATCCTGTCTTAATTATTAACCCATTAATCTAAGTATTTCCATGTGGTCTTATCTTACCTGAGAAGGGTCCAGCATTTTATCTTCCCAACAGTTACATGCTGTCTCTTCCTAGTGGCTTCTCTTGCATCCTATCCCTAGCATTCTCTTCATCTGGTAGCCCCACCAATATTTCCTGCCTGGCTACTGTCCAATCAGTGTTTCATTCATCAACCAATAAGAGAAACAAATACACAGAAGAACATCCTCCATCAGTTGAATGAAAAACAGCTGACTACACAACTGTGCATAATATGAGCTCAAAAGATGCACATATATCCATATGTTTCAGGTTGTTGCATATAGAATGATTAGTGGTAGCTACTTCTATGTTCTTCTAAAAACCCCCAAATTTCACACCATCTTGTGTACACACACACACACACACACACTTGAATATAAAATATCCAAAGTTATATTGTTATACTATGTATCACTTTCCTTCATGATTACTAATAAAAACAATAATTACTTTTTCCTTTGGCTTATTGAGATATGGTCTCATAACTCAGGATGACTCAGGATGACCTCAAATTTGCTATGTAGCTGAGGATGACATTGCACTTCTGATCCTCCTGTCTATACCTCCTAAGTGTTGGGATCATAGGTGCATACCATCATATCAAGCCCAACAAATTTATTCTTTAAAAATAGAGGTGTGGATAGTCTGGGATGCCTGAAGCACCCACAAGCCCTCTGATGCCATTCAACTCAGGTGAGCAAAGGACACCCACAGAGCAGCCTGGGTCCTCATAGTCCAGCCTATCTGAAGCACCCACAAACCCTCCTGGTGCCTTACATGTCAGGTGGGCAAAAAACACCCATAGGGCAGCTTGGGTTCTCATGGTCCTGCCTGGATGAAGCATCCACATGCCCAACCAGTACCTTGTGGCACCAGGCAGTTAGTTGTCAATATGATGAGAAAGTATATTGTGGTGATGTGGGAGAGAAAGAAAGGCTAGTGGTTCATGTGCTGTGGCAAGAGGCAGTTCTGAAGAAGTGAGAGCTGTGAAGAATGGGCTGATGTTAGTGCCCTGCTTGCCACTCAGGATCAGGGTGATTGTTGATGTCCATGACCCATATTGATACCAGTTGAATATGGTACCACATGCCTTTAATCCCAGCACTCAGTAAGCAGACACGTATAAGAGGATCCTTGTGAGTTCAAGACCAAAGACCAGCCAGGTCTACAAAAGATTTCAGCACGGCTAGGATGATAAAGAGACCCTGTCTTTAAAAAACAACAACAAAGAATTGGAGCTACTAATCTAGACTACTCTTATTCCCTAGCTATTGCAGAGTGGCTATAAACATTGCCATGCAAGTATCTATGTAGTAGGATAGTTGGTCCTTTGGTTATACACACAGGGAATAGAATTCCTGGGTCGTGTTACAGCTTTTTAAGAATTCTCCACATTGATTAGCTGTCCTTCAATTGAAGAATATCTAATGAAAATATGTCACATATACACAATAGAGTCTATCTACTGTAAAGAAAAATGAAATGGGCAGGCAGATGACTGGAACTGGAAAATAATTCACTGAAAGAAACTCAAGCCCAGAAAGTCAAGGGCTTTTCTTTCTTATTTGCTATCTTATTTATGGATCCCAGCTCCAAATCTTTAGATTGGAGTATATAATCTGAAGTAACCACAGAAGCCAGGAGAGCAGAAAGGGATTATGACTGGGGATGTGGGGGGATGGTAACTTCTAGAAAGAAGAATAATGGGGCACAGGTGTTATGAAGGGAGGCAGGAGGAACAAAGGGGAGCTTAACTAAGAAAGGAGGAGTAGAGTAAGGAGAGGAAGAGAGAGGAAGGAGAGAAAAATAACACTAAGGATGTTGGAAAAGCCATAGGGAAACATTTTATAAGCATACTTGTGTGTGTGTGTGTGTGTGTGTGTGTGTGTGTGTGTGTGTGTGTGTGTGTGTTTAAATGGAGTTACACTACGTGGAGTGATTATCTTTCTTACAAGATCCATATTTGTTCTAACAGAACCCTGATGGGAGCTGTCATTCTGTAAATATGCTTCTTATATTGGTTAATGAATAAAGCACTGTTGGCCAATAGGAAAGCAAGATAGGCGGGACTAGGAGACAAGGAGGAAAGAGGAAGGAGTAAGGAGGGGTCAAGATGAGGAGTCTGGAGAGAGCAGGACGCCAGCCGGCTCTCCGGTAAGATAAAAGCACATGGAAATACATAGATCAACAGAAATGGGTTAATACTTAAGACAGAGCT